TGAATGGGGTGTTGAGCGTTAACTGATTCGTGGTGCTGACTGATAGGGGGTGTTAACTGAATGGGGGTGTTAAATGAATGGGGGTGTTAACTGAATGAGGGTGTTAACTGAATGGGGGTGTTAAGTGAATGGGGTGTTGAGCGTTAACTGATTCGTGGTGCTGACTGATAGGGGGTGTTAACTGAATGGGGGTGTTAAATGAATGGGGGTGTTAAATGAATGAGGGTGTTAACTGAATGGGGGTGTTAATTGAATGGGGGTGTTAACTGAATAGGGTGTTGAGCGTTAACTGAATCGTGTTGCTGACTGATAGGGGGTGTTAACTGAATGGGGTGTTACATGAATGGGGAGTTAACTGAATATAGTGTTAACTGAATGGGGTATTAACTGCACTGTCTGTTAACTGAAAGTGTTTCTGCACTAAAAGGGGGCATGGGGGTCACAAAGACCTCTTACAGATGTGAATGTGCAGATTACTTTGATCTTCTGTGCAAACATCTTCAGAACAGTAAACATCTTAAACATCCCTTGAACTATTGCTCAAATTTTGCCTGAGATCTTGAGGTCAGCAAACCAATACTGCACCGAATATTTTGGTGACAGTCTCAATGATTTAAAGTCATGTGACAGAATGATGATTCAATTCATGTGGCAGAATGATGATTCAAGTCATGTGAAAGAACGATAATTTCAATTGATGTGAAAGAATGATGATTTCAATTGATGTGACAGAATGATGATTCCAAGACATGTGACAGCATGAGAATTTCCATTGATTTGACAGAATGGTTTTCAAGTCATTGTGACAGAATGATAATTCCGAGCCATGCAAAAGAATGATTTACTTTCAGAAAAAAAAGGTAATGTGGAGATTTAGTCTCTTAGTCACGCCTGGATGATTCATACATCACACAGATGAAGAAATCAACAAACCCCTGATCAAATGCCCCCCCCCCCCTTTCCCTGACTTTAGTCCTTTAGTTTCCTTCTCACACATTTACACAAACCCATTACCAGTCTTCTCATGTTTAAGATGTTCACCTCTGTGTATCATGGTTGGTAACTTTCATTTCTTATCTACATCTAATGTCACAGATGGTATTTATTAAACGTTATGTACACATTGATGGTGTTATATATTAAACATTTATGCACACATTGATGGCGTTATTTATTAAACATTCATGCACACGTTGATGGTGTTATTTATTAAACATTTATGCACACGTTGATGGTGTTATTTATTAAACATTTATGCACACGTTGATGGTGTTATTTATTAAACATTTATGCACACGCAGATAGTGTTATTTATTAAAAATTTATGCACACGCTGATGGTGTTATTTATTAAACATTTATGCACACGCTGATTGTGTTATTTATTAAACATTTATGCACACGCTGATGGTGTTATTTATTAAACATTTATGCACACGCAGATAGTGTTATTTATTAAAGAAATTAGTTACTGGGAAGTAGTAAACATGACAACCTGCCATCATAATTGATGACTTGCATTTTGCATAACTAATTTGTAATAGAGGACATGTGTACCTTCATATGTAACGTAATAGAAGACGTCGAGGGCCTCCACTGCGGCGGGGCCTTTCTGTTTGTATCCAAATATCAGGTCGATCCAGTTGTGTAGATGGGCAGATACATACTCACTTTCCTGAGGAAACAGGAAGTCAGTTATTTCAATTTAATCTGACTAGGGCCTACCGTAAAAATCAAGGCCATTTATCCTTGGAACTATTTTCAATGTATCTACACATTACACATGGAACAATTTACAAATAGAAGCAAAAAAATAAAATGATTCAAAACATATTCAATGATATTTTGTGCTTATACTTATATAAAACACATCTTGTCAGTGTCTAGAAACGTCATTGATTATTACTTATTACTTAAATAACAGTTCAAATACAGTCAACAAGCAAGAAGTCACATTGGGGG